TTCCTTATAGTTCTGGAATTCCAATCACATGTAAGTTATATTTTTTATGCTGTCTCACATAAATCTTAGGCTTTCATCTTCTTCTTCTTTTGTTGGTTCTTTTCTGATTGTTCTCCTAACAAAGTTACATTGACATATTTGTCTTCAGTGTCACTAATTGTTTTTTCCATTGATTGAATTCTACTCCTTTGCCTTTTCAATATGTTACTTATTTCTGAAATTTTATTGTTCTTTTGTATTTCTATTTGGTGTTTTTATATGGCTTCTAATTTGTCATTTATTTTTTCAGTGTGTTCTTGTATTGTTTTCCTAAAATCTTCTAGAATTTTGTCCGTATTTTTCTTAATTTTGTCAATGCTTCCCTTGATCTATCTATGAATTTGTTGAAGGTATCTAAATATAATTCTTTTTAATTCCTTTATCAGGTAATTCTAATGCCGCTTCTCCCCCACAGAGGTTTTCTGCCTCTGTATTCTGGTCCCTTCTTTGTATTACTTTATCTTGCTTCTCTGATTGAACTGGGATTGTCAGATGTCTCTGAGACATTGTGATGTCATTTTGTTTTTAATTTGTGATTGTATGTTAGTATGATTTGCCCAGATCCCCCCCCCCATTTCTTTTTGATATATCTGTGCAAGCCAGGCTGTTTCAGTACTCCATTCTCATTAGTTTCTAGCACTTAAGTTATCACCAACTATCTGTTGGTGGGTGTTACAGAGATTGAGAATGTGTGCACAGATCTCTGTTAGCTGCTCATGTAGAGCAGTTGAGGGTGTGTTGGGCTGGTATTGACCACTGTGTATGGTTGATCACTTGGTTCAGAAGCAGGTGGTGGCCCTTGCCCAGCATGTGGGGCAGATGGGGTTGTGTCTTGTAGGTACAGTTGTTGTCTCCCGCCTTTCTCATCATCACCCACCATTTAGGTTGCCTATACAGTCCTCGACAAATGGAGCTGAATATGAAATTGTTGCCCAGATCGGAATGCTGCTTGCAGATATTTAAAATAGCCACACCATCAGGCTAGTCAACAGCCCACAGCTCTGTTTATCACCCTATTCACTGTTTTCATGCAATTTATTTTTCTAGTTGGTATTTAATCCACTTCCTTATACTTTTGAAAAAAAGTTTTGAAAAACTCAAGGTCCAGGATTAGCTTCTGAATGTGTTTCAGTTGGTGTCTTGCCTATTAGTTGTAGAGGATCTATGTAGCTTGTCTACCTATTCTACCATCTTGCCAGAAGTATTCCTCAAGACTGCTGGCTCCAGCTGCCCTATTCTGTTTTGTATCTCCCTGAACTCTAAGTTCTATGAATTATAGAAACCTTAAAATGAACCAAACAGTTATGTAGATCTGGGAAGCATTTATTGAGGAACATGACTGCATCTCAGTAAGAATAGTGAGCTTTGTGGCATTTTAACTTGACCTATAAAAGGAACTCTGGTGACACAGTGTTTAAATGCTTGGCTGTTAAACTGAAAAGTCTGTGGTTTCAATCCACCAGCTGTTCCACAGGAGAAATAATGTGACAGTTTGCTTCTGTAAAGATTCCACAAAACCCAAACTAATTGCCATCAAGTCACTTTTGATTCCTAGTGATCCCCATTGGGTTTCCAAGGTGTCAGTCTTTACCGAAACAGACTGCCTCATCTTTCTGTCTTGGAGTAGCTGGCAGTTTGGAGCCACTTGTCTTTTGGTTAGCATCCAAATGCCTTAATCATTATCCCACCAGATTATAGCCTTGGAAATCCTGTGGGAAAGTTCTATTCTGTCCTATATCAAAAAAGAAAAAGGAGCTCTGGTGGCATAGTGCCAAAGGCATTTGACTGCTAACCAGAAGGCTGGTGGTTCAAACCCACCAGCCACTCCTCGGAAGGAAGATGGGGCAATCTACTTCCATAGTAATACTGCCTTGGTAACCCAAGGAGGGGTCACTATGAGTCGGATCTGACTATACGGCAGTGAGTTTGGATTTTTTTTTGGTCATGTTGTCAGAAGGGACCATTCCCTGGAAAAGGATATCATGCTTGGTGATGTGGAGGAGCAAAAAAGAGGAAGACTCTCAGCGAGATGAATTGATCAAGTGGCTGCAATGATGGGCTCATGTATAGCAAGGATTGTGAGGATGGCACACGACCAGGCAGTGTTTCATTCTGTTGTACATAGGGTCGCTATGAATGAGAGCTGGAGCCAACTCAGTGGCACCTAACAACAACAGTACTCCAATGTATGTAGTGCCATATTTGTTTATCCATTCATCTATTAATGGACACTTAGGTTGTTTCCCTTTTGGCTATTATGAATAATGCCACAATGAACATAGGTGTACAAGTATCTGTTTGAGTCTCTGCTTTCAGTTTTTTGTGGTCTATATGTCAAAGGTATTTGACTGCTAACCAAAACGTTGGTGGTTCAAACCCACCAGCCTCTCTGCAGAAGGAAGACTGGACAATCTACTTCCACAAAGATTTACCACTATGGAAACCCAAAGGAGGTTGCTGTGAGTCAGAATTGACTCACTGGCAGTGAGTTTAGTTTGGTTATACCTAGGAATGGAATTCCTAGGTCATATGGTAATTCTTTGTTTAATTTTTGCGGAGCCAACACTCCTTTCCTCATGAGCTGTATCATTTTACATCCTCATCAGCAATACAGGAGGGTTCCAATTTCTCCATATCCTCACCAATACTTTATTTCCCATTTTCTTGATTATAGCCATACAAGTGGGTGTGAAATGGTATCTCATTGTGGTTTTTGATTTGCATTTCTCTAATGACTACTGACATTAAACATCTTTTATGTGCTATTCACATTCATTTATTTGAATGCCTTTTTCCATATGTCACTTCCTGTCCATGGGAAATCATTGGGATTTTATTATAAATCTCAGAGACAAATACTTGGTGCTTAATAGTTGATGAAATTCAGACAGCTGCTTTACTTGTGATAGGAACAAAGGCTTTGGGGATCTGGTGTGGGTTGGGCAAGGTCTTGGCTTTCATAAAGCTTCTGTGCTAGAGAGACAGACTTGTTGCTTCCTAAACATAGTTGGAAGCTCTGGTGGCATAGTGCCTAAGGCATTTGACTGCTAACCAGAAGGCTGGCAATTCAAACCCACCAGCCACTCCTCTGAAGGAAGGACAATCTACTTCCATAGTGATACCGCCTTGGAAACCCAAGGAGGGGTCGCTATGAGTCGGATCTGACTCGATGGCAATGAGTTGAGTTGAGTTAAACATGTAGTTACTTCCTGTGTTGGTAACTGGTGAGTTGTGTTGCATATTGACGTGAAGTGGCAAGGAGCGTTTGAACAGAAAAGGAGGCTCAGTGTCTTCAGTATTTCTTCCTGTGTGGCTGGTTGATCAGCCTCTCTTGCTGATATTAGTTGTACACCCCATTCCTGAGCAATAAACATCCATGAGGGGTTGAGCTGAGTGACTGAGCATTTCTGTATCCTTGGCCCAGAGAAGGCTTCCAAATACGTCAACAAGATAGGTGGGTACACATGGGAATGAGACTCTTGTCTCTACATCCCACTAGTAAATGGGGGCTGAAAAGCCTGTTGACATTCTGTTTTCAAATATCATTTTCCTGCTTGCCTAGGACTATTGGCCAGAAAATTGCAAGTCCAGAGCCCTAGAAGATATTTATGAAATGGCTGCTTCATTGGATCAGACCATTTTCTCCTCCAGAAGGGAGGAGGGTGCACAGGGGTGATTAGCAGTTTGGGGCTTGACTGGAGAGCTCCAGCACGGACGAGTCATGCTGCATTCCTGGGTCACAGCTTCAGCATTAGGCTTTGAAAAATCCTACAAGAACTCCTCCAGTATTCGGAGTCTTAACTGTTGGCATTTAGCTTTTCCGAACCATTGGCATTCCAGAAGCCTTCTTGGCATTTTTGGATATTCTATAGCCACCTTGGAACCAAGTTGTTACTCTTTTCTCCATTCTATAGCTAAGGGGGAAATACACAAAGAATACACAGCCGCTTGCTCTAGCTTGCAGGTTACTGAATGGTATAAGCATTGGTATAACTTGAGTCTCAAATTTCTAGTCTGTGGTGGTTAATTTGCCTAGTAGCAGTGCTGTCCTCTCTTCCCTCCTGTGCCCCTGCCCCATGCTAGGTTCTCACAGGTGGTGGCATGAGGATCAGCAGTGCCTCCTTACTGACCACCCTGCTGACTCTTCAGAAAGATTTCATGGGGGGGTGGGGGGTGGGGGTAGCCTTGTCAAGGAAATGGGGTTTTGTAAAACAATCAGTTCTTGTCTCACAGTGTATTTTTGAATGGTTCAAACCCATGTGCATATAGCACAATGTGATTTAAAAGGAGAAAATTTAGGACTTTGAAGTTATCTAGGCTTTGGCTCACAGTCTGATAATTTGTTGACTCTGTTTGTGTTCCTGGGGCTGTGAGAATTTGAGAAGTCAGAGTCCAGAACAATGCCTGAATACTCCACACAAGTACCAAGGCAGTACTCCTAAATTCTCCCAAGGTACCAGAGTTGCTGTGAATCTGGGCAGTGGAGGTCAGTGCTGTGGTGGGCAGAGGCTGGCTTAGGGACTGTGTCCCAGAAAGCCCCAGAGAGACTCTGGGTCCATGGATAGCCCGTTTGTGATATCCTACTATGGATACCTAGAAGTGGACCCTGTCTACTTCTGCTGGGGTTTCCTTTCATATTCTTAGTGCTGTGTAGTGGTCACTTTCATTCTTATACATTAGACCTGAATACGCGGCAGTGTAGTAGAATTAAGTAAACTGTTCAAGGTCACCCAAACAGTTAAAAGTAGGACTGGGCTCACCCCCTAGGTCTGCCTGGCTGCAGATGGCCTCCTCCTTAGCTGAGCTCTGGGGCTGCCTATAACTGCCTGGTGGGGTCAGGTTGGGATTGCTCTCCAGGGATTCACCCCTTCCGGGATTGCTGGAGCAACTGCCTTGGGCTGTAGGACTCCGGTGTTGCCTCTGCTCCCCTTTCAGATCCACTAGTCCCTGAGGTGTAGGCAGTGTGTCTAAGCACAAAAATAGAGTGTCTTGGAATCCTAGCTCTCACAGCTTCGAGCGTTAGAAGGTACTCAGTGTGGTGCCAGGTATAAGGACTCTGTGGACAGCAGAGCTGCTCTGGCCCGCTGGGCTGCATGGTCTCCTAGAGGGCCACAGCACTGGTGACAGTTGCCTCTGTGAGGTCTAAACCCGGCCTCTTTCAGTAGCTATGAGCTTCTGGACAGTTATCCAGCCCTCTGCTATGCACCTGCTTTCTCTTCTGTATAGTATGGGATCACAACAATCCAACCTATCTTTTAGAGATGTTACAGGGATCGAATGAAATAATGTGTGGGAAAATAACAGTCCTTGGCACATAGTAAGCATTCCAGAAATACTGTAAAGTGATCATAGGAATTAACCTATTTTGAAGAATCACTGTGAAAAATCAAACAACATATGTAAACTCTCTAACATACCATAGGTTTTCAATTCATTATTGATACCATTCTTATTGCTACTGTTGTTGTTATTTTATTGTGGTTATTCTAGAAAGAAACCTGAGATTTTACAGGCTTGATGGTGAGCAGATATCGTCAGGCAGGTTTTTCCCTGCAGTGCCCAATGCAGGAACCAGTGCTGCCTGCTAATGTATGCTTTGTTCTCTCTCAACTAGGCCAGGGAGCTGGAAAGCATAGAGGCTGAGCTAAAACACCGTAATACCTTCTATAAGGAGCAACTGGGACGCATTGAAAGGAAGGTAAGGCTTGTGCTGGGCTTGCTTTTTCCTGGGCCAGATCGTAAAGGAATCTGATCAGAATCCACCACCATTCTAGGAAGAGGAGGGAGGGGAGCAGCATGCTGGGCAGTGGTCCCTGGGCCCCATTCCCCTGACAGCCCATTAACTGCGCCACACCCCCTCCTGTATTCAGCAGCCAGCACCACAAGCAGATTTGCTCAACAAGTTGCAGTCAAAGAGATAATTGGTTTTTAATTGGCCTGGTTTTTGTTGAATTGGGCTGGCTCTGTTATAGTTCAGTTTTAGAAAAAAATCACTTTCACCACAGGGCGGTGCTGAGAACTAACATACCTTCTTCATTTTAGTTAAGCTGCATTGGATAAAAATAATAGTAATGTGAGGTCTTGCTATACAAATATATTAAAGTTGTATTACTGATTTTCTCTTGGGAGTCAGGGAGATCAAAGTGCATCCTGCTAAACACTGTCTACTTTTCTGAGGCAAAGCCTTTGAAATGAATGAGATTTAAAGACACATCATCTTGCCAACACCCCCCCCCCGCAAAAGTCTGCAATGACTTGAAAATTCATTTGGTAACCTGCTTATTCTTTTTTTGGTTTAATCTGTTGATCATGACAGATTTTTCAAAGAAATGGCTTAAAACGTGGGAGGGAATGGTTGGGAGGTTAACAAAAAGTGTTCTCCCTCATGCCTAAGACAGTATGCCAAGCAACCTGAGCCATCAGCTTATTGCAGGCAAATCTTTGCAAATCATTTGTCACGGTTTAGAGCTTTGAAATTGACAGTGTGTTTAAGGGGCTTGATTTCCATAGGGGTTTTCTCCTGTAGTGTGCCACAGTGCAGCCTGTATAAACATGGATTTTTGGATTTCCAGGCAGTGGGGACAAGGGAAAGCCATCCTCTGTGGGGTGTTTGGGGAATGATGAGAGCTGATGAAATATGAACACGAACTGCTGAAGGTGACATCCATAAAAGTCTGGAGGAATGGGGCAATGCCCCTCCAAGCTGCTGACAAAATTGGCCCTTTACAAGCAAATACTGTTTCATGAAGCAGCTTCATGCACAGATTTGACTATAGCTTGTAATGACAGGGATTGTGAGTAGAGAGCCTGGAAAAAGGGTAAGAAAAACCCACCAGCCATAGCTCTAATTATCATGGTTGCCCATATGTTCATAAGCATGGATTTTTTGTTGTTGTTGTTATGTGCATAATTCTTTGGTCTCCTGCTGTGCTCTTCTCATGTTTCTCTCTCTGGATTTGGCTCCTAGAATCATGTGTACGTGTATGTTTGTGTAGAAGTGGTGTCCCAACATTTTCCTCCTGTAAAATCTATTTCCCCTTGGTACTCTCTCATTTCTACTCCTTAAAAAAAAAATTCTCTGCTTTGCTGAAGGAGAAGAAATTCCCCTGGAAGAGCCCTCTTTCTCATCTGCCTGTCCCCTCTTACCAAGTACAGTCCCAATTCCTTACATATGCAGACACAGGTGCTTTTCCAGGAGGTTTTCCTACATGTTTGTGAACAATTATTAAATGCTTCAAGAAGAGGTACAGTTAAACACTAGCAATTTGCCCGTAATGATTATTAAAAAAATTAAAATTAAAATTAAAAAAAGGAAAGAAAGAAAGTACCTCTGACATCCTAGGAAATGGAGATTGTGAGTGAGATAGAGGGGATTAAGGAGTAACCAGAGAAAGAGGGAGAAAAGAGACACAATAATAAGGTTTAATTGTCTTAGTTTTGAAAAAGGTTTTGATCTTCAGCGTGGATAATTTTATTCCTGTAATGGCTGGGAAGATGGAAAACACAGCATCTAACAATCTTTTTTATTAGCTGTTGCTTTTATATAATTCTGCTTTCATTTGTTGAATACTCCCAGACCTTGACATTTCCAGCTTCTGTACACACTGCTTCAGGACCTTCCAATCATCAGGCTCTTTTCCTTTTTTGTTTTTTTTCCTCTCCCCTATTTCCTTTTTAGTTTAGAAATTGATGGTGGAAACCTGGTAGGGGAAAACTTGGAACTGTTTACTTGACCACCTAAGACAGCTCAGTGTGGTCATGGGTGCGAGAAGGTTGGATTGGGGGAGGCAGAAACCTGGCTGGGGCTTTGGGAGGAGATGTGTGTCTATAGGCCTCTTGGCTGGAGCCCTGCTGCCCTTCCCCCTGGAGGGAACTTGTTCTGAAGTGCTAGTTCTGTCTCCCCCTGTTCATTGTGACTGGCGGTAGGGAAAGCCTGCACTGAATCCAGATGCATTTTCAAGAGAGAGGAGACTTCCTCGCCCTTTTGTACTGCAGTATTTATTTCCTAGATGATTATTCTTGAGTATGGAAATCACATTTTATAGGGCTCCAATACTTCGTAATCTTTCTGAGTAATTGTTCCTCATGCCCACACTGCAAGACCTAACTAAGGATTGTTTTTTCCATTTCACTGAGGAGAACAGTGAGCTCTTGAGGAGGTAGGGGCCTTACAGAGGCTCTTAAAGCAGCTGGACACTGGTATTCATGTTGTTGTTGTTGTTATATGCTGTTGAGTTGGACCCGACTCATAGCGACCCCTCCTTGGGTTTCCAAGGCAGTATCACTACAGAAGTAGATTGCCCCATCTTCCTTCCAAGGAGTGGCTGGTATATATGCTGTTAAGCAGAGGATGAAATGATTCAGCTGAAAGAGGTTGGGCATCAGAATCTGGGGGACCTAGGCTTGTGAGACAGCTCTGCCATCATCATTCTCTGGAAATATAAGTGACTGGGCCTCTTTAAATCTTAGTTTTGTCATTTGTAAAATGATTTGTAAAATCAGTACCTTCTGCAGTGAGTTGATGGGAGGATGAAATGAGGTGATATCCATAGAAGTGTTGGCATCTCTGTGGTATACATAGACATTGGTGTCCTTGGGTCATGTCACAGTTCTTCAAATTTGTATTCACAGGGAGAATGTGTGTGTGCACACTTGCATATACGCACATGTACGCATGCTGAAATAGATGTTATCATCAAATTAATCTAGCTCCTGCCACCTGGTAGTAGGATAGCTGTCTTGCTGCTTTATTAAAACACTTTCCTCTAATTCCAGCAAGGTGCCCTATTGGTCATGCAATGGTAGAAAATGGGTCCGTGCAAATAGCACGATTAATATTAAGCAGAAGAGGCTGGACATAAGAGACTACATGGCAATGATGTGATTCCATTTATATAAAGTTCAAAAGCAGCAAAATGAATCTATGGTGTTAGAAAGTAGAGTAATAGTTACATTTGGGAGGAAATAGTGACTGGAGGAGAATGTGAGGGGGGCTTGTGGGTGGAAGTAAGGTGGTCTGCGTACTGATTACATAGGTGTGTTCAGTTGGTGAAACTCCATCAAGTTGAACACTTAGGATTTGTGCACTCTTCTGCCCATACGTTACACTTAATAAGAAGCAGAGTGTGACTGAGAAAGGCAGGGCAACAACACTGATTATTCTCTGGCCTAGGAGAATGTACTCTTCATTCATGGCTTAAAACATTCATGGCTTCATTCTTAGTGTTTTTGGTAATTAAGGTTGTGTGTCAACTTGGCTGGGCCTGGTTGAGTGGCTGGGCAGCTGGTAGTAGTTATTCCCCATGATGAGACTGGCAATCAACTCCATGGTGCGATCTACCACAAGCAGCTGGGTAGCTGCTTTATGGATGTGGTCAGCTTCCCGTATATAAGCAGCAGCTTTGGGAATGATCTCTAGCTTATGCCAGCTTGAACCCTGCATGTAGCCATGTCATAGTTCAGCAACCTGCTATGCTCTGCCAGGCTTGGGACTTTCAATGGACTTAAAGCAATGGCCTGCTGTGTTGTTTGGGAACACTGGGACTGTGCCTTTTCACTTGTCGACCTTGGGCTTGTCAGCTTCAGCAGCCAGTAGCTGTCTGAGTGAAGGAAACCCTCCAGCTTCAGTGGGCTGGGAGCAAGAGGCAGAGCTGAAGCTCAAGGTTGAGGGGCTTTCACTCAGGCCCTAGAGCCTGGGACTTTGAACTCAGACTTAAAGCCCCCCAAAGTGTAAGAGAATAAACTCCTGTTTGTTAAAGCCATCCAATTTGTGGTATATTCCTGTCAGAGCAGCACTGGGTAACCAAAACAGTGCTGCTCTTCCCTCCACTACCACTTACCCTTCTTTTCTAGCCTTTGGGGCTCTGCTGAAGGCTGCCTTTTCAAAGACTAGAAAGAAACCTGGAGAGAAATCACAGCATACATTTTGTCTTCCCTCCTTAACTGTAACAGGGGAACAGATGTTATTATTATTTTTTTATCAGTGAAGAAACCAAAGCTAAGAGAGGTGAAGTACCTTACCCAAGGTCTCACAGCCACAGGTGACAGGGTTAAGCTACAAACTCAGGTTTGGCTGCCTCCCATCCTCTTGCATCTTGCCTTCTCTGAACACCCATAATTCCAAGTGTCTGCACTTCTGGTTGGTATTGTTCCATGCCTGTCTTCACCCAGTGGGAGTTGTCAGAACACTGAATGAATGTATGTTAGTTACTGTGGCATAGGATGGTGTTGGTGTGGAGAGAACATTGGTTGCCACTCTGCTTTAGGACTCTGTGTTCCTATCTCATATTCTAGCACTTGCCACACTAATAGTAGCGTCGGTGGCTGCTTCTCTTACCAGACTGTCAAGGTCTGTGTGCATAGCATACTCACTGATAGTGTCAGATTACCCAATAAGCAAGGTAAGCATGGGCTTGCTTGTGCTTACTTACCTGTAGTAAACATTTTCACATTTTTTTCACCACATCCAAGATTGTGCTTCTAGGTGTGGCTGGCATCTTGTCTCTCTCCCAAACCCACAACACCTTCCTACAAAATGAAAACCTCTTTTCAAACTTATAATTGGAGTATCCAGTAAGCAGGGATACTGTGAACAGTTTCACATGTTTTTTGATGAAACTCATGTGAAATTGTTCACTACAGACTAGTAAGTAAGCCCATCCTTACCTTGCTTGTTTGGTAATCCATCCTCGCTCATTG